GCAAAGCGGTCAACATGATATATAGCTGCGGCCTTTCTAAGACTTAATTTTGGGTCATTCTGGAGGGCCTGAAGGGCAAGAATAATCTTAGCTTCATTTGGAGACTCTGGCATATTGGATTGTTGAGAAATATCTGATTGAAAAGTGATAGTGTAGGTTGAGGGATTTTTGGAGCACTCGCTTGTCTGGAGCACTCGCTTATCATGCACGTTAATAATTATAATAATTTAATATACTAACTTTATAATATATTAATATATATAATTAATATACTATATAATAAATATATAATTATATAATACTACTTATAAGAGATATATATTATAGACTTTTTCTTTATAATAATATTATTATATATATAATAAACTTAAAAATTAGTTAACTATTAATAAATATTTTATTTTTAGTTTTTTTATTTTTTTTATTTAATAGGCCTTTAAGTAAATTAATATTATAAGAAACTCTTTTTTTTCCTTTAATTTTTTAGCCTATATAGGCCAGTTTACCTTATAACTGCTAAAAAAGAAAAAAAGAAAATAATAATAATAATAAGGTTTAATTACTATATAGGCTATAGTAGCTACTATAAGGAATAGTAAGTAATAAATATATTATATTATTAATTACTTAAAAAATATATAAAGACCTACTATATTAATAAGGTAATAAAAATAACTACTTTAATTAATCTATATAAAAGATAATATTTTAAGCTGCTCTAAAATACTAAAGCTATCCTTTAAGGAAAGTACTATAAATAAAAGAGAAGTAACTTACTTTATAATATATATAATTATAATAATATTACTAATAATAATATAAATAATCTATTAATGCCTATTATATTACTATTAAATTATAAAATATAGAGTTTATATATTATTATTAACCTTATTTACTTACTTTACTATTAATTATAAATCCTATTATTAGCTTTTATTTAAAGCTATATTTTAATATATTAATACCTTTAAAGTAAGATATAGTAATTAAGCCTATTTATATAGATAAGGTAAATATAAACTTAATAGTAATATTAATATTATAGAATCTACCTATTTAAAACTATTATAAAAATTTATAGGCTATATAATTAAATTTAAATAATATATATAAAGATAATTATAATCTATTATTTAAAGACTCTTAAATATAACTTAAGCTTATATTATAAAGATAAAATAATACAGAAGATAGCTATAATGTAATTATTAATAGAGGTAAAGCTAATTCTCTATAGCTTAAAGCTTAAAATAAAGAGCTATAGGATTTAATTAATAAGGTTTAGCAGTTACTTATTATAATATTACTAGATAATAAGGCAATAAGAAAAGATAGTAATAATAATCTAGCAAAAAGTTTATAAACTTATAGTTTAGAT